GAGACTAACAGAAGTACTGGGAGCATAAGCTTTCGTGGGTAAGAACCTCACTTCTTCAGATGCAAGTCATGATGATGGTATAATATGACTTTTCAGTTTAAGAAATCCTTATGTCGTAAGTGTTTATATTATACAGGGGCACAGTATGTGTGGTGTTTCAATATAGCACTGTATTTTGCAAATGTATTCTAGTAATAAGAAAAAGGTCAAATTCAGTTGATTATCAGTAGTCAAAGTTTTGCCAAAATATTACGCGTCTCTTTGTAGCTGCAGTCTTAACATGCCCAGTGAAAAAGGTCAGTACGTTTATTTTGTTTCCATCTCCTCCTTATTTTGACTGCAGACCTTACCACAGGGACACCAGCAATATCAACACCAACAGTGGAAATTCGGAAAAGCAGTGTTCTGACAACTGAGATCACCTCTAAAGTGGAAAAAATCCCCACCACAGCCACTAGCAGCAACACGTGCCCTTCCGTGGAGACTGAGGAAGAAAAGGCAAAAAGGCTGCTTTACTGTTCACTATGCAAGGTTGCTGTCAACTCCACCTCGCAGCTGGAGGCGCACAACAGTGGTGAGATGTAGCAATTTCTTTTCTGTCTCAAGAGCTCTGCAATTATCTTCCTCTGAATAGATTAGATCTCTTGCAGCAGGGGACAAAGAGGTGGCAGAAAACTTGCAATTACATGGAATTCATTAACTATTAAAGAATAAAAATGACAAGCAAAGAGTCTTTCATAAGGGGAAAAAAGGAAGTCTAGTGCCTGCAAGTTACCAGTTTTCTTAAATTTCACTTTTCGTTGCTTCCAAACATTATGGTGCTAAGTAACAGCTTATACTCTGTTACTCTGACCGCCAGAAGCTGGAACTGGACGACAGGGGATGGATCACTTGATAATTGCCCATTTCTGTTCATTCCCTCTGAAGCATCTAGCACTTGCCACTGTCAGAAGACAGGATACTGGGTTAGCTGGACCATTGGTCTGATACAGTATGGCTGTTCTTACCTTTTGGTGCTCAGAATTTGCATACTTTCATTTATGTCAAATAGCAAAGAGAATAGTTTGGTATAAAATATAACAAGTTATTCTGAAATAGAGGACATCAGCCAGTCAAAATACAAAGATCAGAGATCAAATTTCTTGCTGAACAATAATTTTTGGTAACCATATAGAATAAAAAAATAATCCCTGCACTAATTGGCTGATGACGGCTACTGCTTGGCAACTAGTGACCGTCTTTCCCCTAGATGTAACACTTTCTTGCCACTGGTGTTAGTAGTGTCGGAGAGCCCTGGTGTAGACAGGCCATCATCTGTTGGCAGCATGTTAAACACCATTTTGATTCGACTTGTTGTGAGCAGGGTTAAGGATTCTGGTGTCAGCAGCCAGCATCTTGTCTATAATAGAACTCCCAATATGGCTAGCCCCAGTTTTGAAAACATTCCCTAATGTAGACAAGGCTGGAAAGATAAGACCTTAGGAGATAGCCAAGAACAGAAAGAATAGACTTGAAGAAGAAAGAGAAAGCTAAACTTAAAACCTGAAATATAACATAGTGATAGAGATTACTCAGTGTTGACCTATGAGATTATCTAACGTCTCATGAGTGATCTTAATCTTACTATAAGTAGAATGACACTGTAGGGGTATAGTATTGACCGGTGTGTATTTCATACTAGTTTGGAAGACACAGGTGGGCAAGTAGGTAAACATAATAATGGGGTTATTAGGCTAAAGGCCTTATTGTATTAGCATGAGAAATCCAAAAGAGATAACCTTGGCATGGAGCAATGTTCATTTAAACTGAAAAGAACATGCTAATTTATTGTTTCTGATGGTGAAAAGAAGTTTGAGTAGTTTTAAATATTATGGGCCAGATCTTTAACTAGTTTAATTTGGTATGGCTCCATTGAAGTCAATGTAATCATATCAATTCAACATCAGATCAAGATCCAGCCTTGTGTGTTTATCACAATAGAAAGTCAAAAAATCTTCAAAATTTAGGTTACTAGTCTGCTAAAGTATATGTGTGTGTGTATTAATTTTGAACAAAGATTGTAACACCATTATTCACATTGAATAGTGGCTTAAACCATGAGTGGCCGCATTAAAATCAATTATGTAAGGTATTATTTAATATGAGTAAAGATATAACAATCATACCCTTTATTATTGATTTTTGTCTATTTTTTTTGTTAGTAACAAATGTGAGCAATGTCCATATTTCTTTTATGTTTTGGTTTCTGTCGCAGGCCCTTAAGATCCTTAGATTTCTGCCTGGAGCTTGTGCTCTGTCTGAGTTATTTATTTTTTTGGAAGCTCCAGGATTTGGGAACTGATTATTTAATTGCAGATTCAAGTTTCTGGTACTTAAAAAGTACTGTTTATCATCCTCATCACAGAAGCTTACAAATCACTTGCAACAACATCTTTAATAGCTAAATCTCTCTTCCTTTTCAACTACAGTTCATGTCTTATTAGTAGCAGGCGTTAATGAAAGAAGTCACACCTATTTAACTTCACCTCAGGACATCCTGAGCATGCCATTACTTATTGGTGGTGGCTGCTTGTTCCTGTTCTGTTGCCTAGATAGGTGCATTTAATAATTAAATTCCAGATAATTATATATTAAATGTGAAATATTGTTACTCTATTATCCTACTGATATAGGCAATGTGGACATGTTTCAAAGATAACACATTGGACAAAACTGAGATTTTATAGATAGATAGATAGATAGATAGATAGATAGATAATATGTATTTAAAAGTTGAAATAATAAAATGCAATCAACTTGCCCAAAATATCTCTTTCCTATTTGGAATCTCTCCAGGGACTAAGCACAAAACTATGTTGGAAGCTCGGAATGGAAGTGGAACTATTAAAGCCTTTCCCCGGGCAGGCGTCAAAGGCAAGGGACCTGTTAATAAAGGAAACACAGGCCTACAAAACAAAACATTTCACTGTGAAATTTGCGATGTGCACGTAAACTCTGAGACACAACTTAAACAGGTACTTAAACAGCTTGGACAACACTGAATCCTTGACTCTGCCTTGTTTTCATAAGGGTGGAGTACCTGCGCATTTAGCATGTGTCAGTGTGATGAGAATTCACATCTAAATGGAGCTTGCTGCTTTTGCCCCTTGCACTTGGGCTTGTGTTCTGTGTGTTTGTTTTCAGTATGATTTTCCATCAGATAAAGTACAATTCCTCAAAAACTGCTGATTATATATATTTTTAAATGGTTATAGAATCTTTCTCTAAACAACAATGTTACAACTGTCCTTAGACTACCATTATTGTCATGGCTTAATAAACCCTGTCATTTTGTGTGCTGTGTGATATTTATATTCACGAGGATGTAGGTGTGTGTGGAGAGAGTCTTTTTATAGAACGTTGAAAAACCTCCTTAGCAGTGTGGGTTGTTTTTATCAGTGTTCCTCTGCAGCCAATAAGCCTCACCTCTAAATTGCAACTACACTAAGTTAGAGTCAATCATTCTCTCTCAGATGAACAAAGCCATTGTTCTGGAAAACACTTAGTTACTTTATGTGCCTTTTGGAATTGAAAACTTGTTAAGAAAAGTATGGAGATAAACACTCTGATGGACTACATTTGTACCTGTCTTACGCTTTCAGGGGGAAAAAAAGGTTCCTTTCCTTGTTTATCTTACTTGCTATAACTCTTTTCAGAAAAAAAAATAGAGAGAGAAAAAAACAATTCTTAGCATCTAATGCACCATAAAATCTGTACAGGAAATTACAGTATATTCTAATAGTTTTTATGTATAGGCTCTGCATTGATATGGTTTTATTTTTAATTTACTGTCACTCAGCATTCTGTGTGGCAGTCTTTCAGGTGAAATCTTGAAAGCTCCCGTCTGTCCTACATGGACATTAAAAGTCTCATGGCACTTCGTTTTTCGGTAGGGGATGCTCCTGGGTTCTCCCATCTCTGCTGCAGGGGCGGCTCTATGTATTTTGCCGTCGCAAGCACAGCAGTCAGGCGGCTGTTGGTGGCGCGCCTGCGGGAGGTCCAATGGTCCCGTGGCCGCCGAATTGCCGCTGGACCAGTGGACCTCCCGCAGGCATGCCGCCGAAGGAAGCCTGACTGCCGCCCTCACGGCGACCGGCAGGCCGCCCTCCGCAGCTTGCCGCCCCAGGCATGCGCTTGGTGCCTGGAGCCGCCCCTGCTCTGCTGTGCAGCAGTTGGCTGCATTTCACAGATGCTTTAAGGTGCGATTTTTCAAAAAGGCCTAACTTTGCTCCCATGAAGTCAGCAGTGCTAAAACTCCCATTTGACTTCAATCAGAGCAGAGCAAGACCATGGCTGAGCATTTTGGAAAATGTCGCCCAAATACATGAAGCACTAAACGCTCCTTCAAGTTGAAATACATCTAAATGGTTATTAATTATTGCTTTATTTTATTTTAATTAGTCAAATTAATACTATTGTGGAGAGCAATAGTCTTCAGGACTGGAGTATGCCTGTTGAAAGGCAGGAGTTGAAGTGAACTATTAATAATGTGATACTGATTAAAAGAAGGTAATTTTTGTAATATCCCTTTTTTAACAGCACATAAGTAGTAGAAGGCACAAAGATCGAGCTGCTGGGAAACCCCCTAAACCTAAATATAGTCCTTACAACAAACTCCAAAAGGGAGCACATCCGCTTGGGGTAAGCAAACGATTTTCTCTTCCATGATGTCCTACCGAGAAGGATTTTCAGAAAACATCACTGGGAAAAATGTGCAAAAGTTGAATGACAGAGTGGGTTCCAGCGTGTGTGCATGCTGCGGGATATTGCACAGAATCTAGGTTTGATCACATTCCTAAATCTGTTGCTTACATCCCTTGGGGCAGCTCAAATGCATCCTAGAAGTGAGGAATGTCAGTTCTGAGTAATTGATGGAAGTGGGAAGTAGGAAGTGATAGTTCACTGTACAACTGAAGACAATTGGAGTCTTTCTGTTAACTTCAATGGACATTGGACTAAGCCCCATAAGCACCCTTTTTGGAGTGGTACTGTAGATGATCTCAGAACAGGGTTCCATTATAAAGGTCGTTAGAAAGAAAGACGATCCAAAGGGGTAGAAAGAATGATAAGGGCTGTAAAGATCCTACCTGCACCTTCCACAGTGAATGCCCAAGAGGTTAATGCTCAGATTACTGGACAGGATCCACCATAAAACACACAACATTTTTATTTGATTTTATTTTATTCCAATTTTGTATTTATTAAAAGTACCTAGATAAAATTAAACATAGTCAAAAATCTATCGTTTTATCTTGTGCAATTTCAAGCCAGGGCTGGTCACATTCCCCTCCCATGGGAGAAACTATTTCAGGCCCAGATCTTGTTAACTTCAAAGACTTGGGCCAAAGGAAAAATAATGTATATTTGCATTTAATAAAACCCTCCTAGTGTCTTGCATTAGTAATAAATACTCTAGCTCCCTGTAGCTCCCTGGTGGGATAGTGGAGTGTAACATAGCATCCATCTACCAGATGATCTACCTGGGAATTCTTCATATAGCATTGCTAATGCAATACAATTTTTCACTGAGATTCATTATTCTAGTATTTGATGGAGGCTCTTAACAAATCCCTGGTGCTGTACGTACCAGCCACTTGTTCGTGAGCTGCAGTGTACAAGGATCAGGGCTCTGTTGTGCTAGATGCTCTACAGATGAGTAACAAAGAACACAATTCCACCCCAAGAGCTCACAATCTACATGCCAGACAGGAGCCAATAACTGGATGTAAGAGGCAAATGAACTGTGGTGGGAGGATGAGTTAGTAGTAAACAAGTACAAGTTAGCAGAGAAGCAGAAGTGCTATAACTTACTCGGGATAAGGTTAAAATAGGGGTTTTTTTGAGGGGTGGTGGGCTGTTTTAGTTTTGTTTTCCTTCTGCAAAATAACATGGACAATGCTGTTATTTGGAATTCAAACGGAATAGACAAAAAGCCAAAAATACACTGATCTTCCTTTGATTATAAATGTTTTTGGTAAGATCTAAAGCTGATTAACTTTCTTTTCTCAACATTTTAGTTTTTTGAGCCATTTAGTTGCTCTGCCTCAGTTTACGCACCTGTAAAATGGGACCAGTAATACTTAGCTATTTCACAGAGATGCCCTGCATGTTAATTAGTATTTGTAGAGCACTTTGAAAATGTATAGTGCTATATACTGTATGCACTAAGCACTACTGCTATTTAATCTCTCTTGGAAATAGAACCATGAGCACTTCAACAAATGAATTGAAAGCCTATATAGTTTCAATAGAATACTAGCTCTTAAACTTTTCAAAGAATCAGAGCACCATGCTGCGCCTTCTACATCAACAGTATCCTAAGGGGATTTTTTCCTCTTTTCCCAGTGGCAGAAATACACCAGAGTCACTAACATCTTTGCTACATTCATAGGATCATAGAATTTAGAGATGGGGAAAGACCTATTACAGTTCTGTAACTCATCTTGTTCAACATTCTACCAATGTAGTATTGTTCCCTAATGTATATTTTTCTAATGCTTGCCCAGTGTAGTTTTAAATGTCTCATACAAAGGGGCTTCACCACTTCCCTTGAGATACTATTACACAGTTTAATAGGTCTCACTGTTAGGCAGTTCCAGACTACATTGGGACTCACTCTGTCCCTCTCCAAACTGATGGGTCCTGCACAAAAAAAGCTAATATGACAAAAATTCCAAGTTGTTGTGATTCATTTTCTCGCTTTTCAAATCCATTTTATTATATAATAAAAAAGCTCCCATATCAAAATGATTTTTCTGATGAATTTATTCTAAATAAAGATTTTTAAAAAACCCTATTTAAATATAAATAGAAAATGGGGAAAAATAAAATCATAGAAAGGGAAGTAGAGAGTTTGCACCAAGACTTGCTAAAGGGTGTGACATTGGGTGTTTCAATGACCAAGACGAAGACCTGGGGGTAGATTTTCATAGATACAAGGGGGGAGTTAAGTGTCCAACACCCAAAACATCTCAATGGGGTTAGGTGCCGAACTTGCCTTTGTGCCTTTGAAAATTTCCCCCAAAATTCTTCAGCAAACTTGAAGTCAGCAGGTAGGGCAGCAGATACAAGACCTGTGAGCTGATAGCTGGTAGATAAAAACTGAACTTTTGGATGGTGGATAACGTTGATGGACTGCACAGGTGAAATTCACTGTTGATTTATGGGACAATCCTCCTGAGTCCAAGGGGCCAAGCTGGGACAGTGTGGTGTTATTTGAACACACACACACACACACACAGAGTCTATTGGCTAGGGTGAAATTGGCCCTATCCAATAAGTGAGAAATGTCCATATTTATTCCGTGATGTACAACTTACTGAGAGAGAGAGAGTTGCAGCCCAGGGACACAAGGCTTGATCCAAAGTCGACTGAAGTCAACAGGAGTCTTCCACTGGCTTTGGAGGTGGCCCATATTCTCATCTCAGGTTGTAGTCTCTCATATTGGGATAGTTTATGCACGTATCAAACATCAGTGCTAATACACTAAAATGAGATCTACCCCAAAGTGTATTTTTAATTATACTCAGATATAGATAAGCATTTTGTACACATTGTGTGTGTTTGAAAGATGTAAATGGAGAGTTGCATGGTGCTGATGCTTTAAAAGCTGGTTAAAGAAAAAGCTGCAGTGCTTATCTACAATACTACATCACAGCTCACTAAATAGTGATCGCATAAAGATGTACATCAAAAATGAATTTTCAAAACCAAGTTTTTAAGATACCTGCCATTTTTCATTGTCTCCATAACTGAGAACAGCATCTCACTGAGAAATGCTATTTTACTGATTCCTACCAGCAGGAGATCCAGTCAGATGATGTAGAATAGGGAACAGGGAATGCATCTCTCGTTTGAATGCATGACAAATCAGGAGACATTCATAGCTGTTGTTAGGTAAAATTTGTTTATATTTTTCAGGGACAGGTGCTAATAAACAGTGGTTCACTGATTATCTTTTTTTTGTAATAGAATTTACCTAGCAACAATAAAGAAAGTACCTGCTTTGTAATGCATTCAAATGGGATGTGTTTTCACTAAATTCTAGTCTGCAACATCAGACTATCCAGATGGCTGCTTCCTCACTGATTGTCAGTTCTTTCTTATTCAATTTTTCCAGGGCAACTGCAACTCCCCTTAAATTTTGTGCAAGTTGAGTTTGCCCAGCCCCTGTCAGGACTCACTAAAATGTTGATTTGAAATTACGTATCAAATTATAGGTTTCCACGTTAAGATGTGAAACCAAAACCAAAATAATGTTGGGTTTCAGTAGCCTCTACCAAAACAACGTGGACGTGCTCCTTCCTAATTGGAGTGTGTGATCTAGCAGCTCTTTTGTTACACAGATGCAGCTCACTTTTAGTGCCAGAAACTAATACCACTCCTCTCTGTCTATATTTTTCATATATAATCTAAGAAGAGTAACCTGTCACGTGGCTAATATGAACAAATTCTGCTTTCTCTGTTTGTTTTTTTCTTTTCCTCACAGGTAAAATTAGTATTTTCAAAGGAACCTCCAAAGCCAATGGCTCCACGAATCTTACCAAACCCACTAGCAGCTGCAGCAGCAGCTGCTGCTGTGGCTGTGAATTCCCCTTTCAGTCTTCGATCAGCCCCAGCAGCTACCCTATTCCAGACTACAGCACTTCCTCCAGCACTCCTACGACCAGCTCCTGGGCCTATACGGACCACCCATACTCCTGTGCTGTTTGCTCCTTACTGAACTCCAAACAGGAATCAATTGTACTGCAATAATTTTTCAAAACAAAAACAAACAAAAAGAAGCAAATCAAGAACATGGAACTATGCAGTGTTTATTTATAGTTTAAAGTATATATGAAGAGCCAGGACTTTTGATAGAGAATTGATCAAATTCTAAAAGAGGGAAGGGGCAGTATTTTCTCCAAATGAGAGCATTCCTCTTGAATATTGACCGTTTTAGAAGCGATCTCCAGCATTGACTCACAGTGATATACAGAACTTGTGAAGCCTTTTTGACTGTGCTTTTTGGCACATATTTCCCTGAAATGTCTTTCCTGCTTTATGAAACAACTTACAAATTTGTCTAAAGGGCATTAACTGGTTCCAATGTACATAAAATACTTTATTCTGTAGATTAAAAGAAGAAGAAGAAAAAAGAAACACTGTGAATAGTAGTACCCTTACTGATCCTTCTGCCAAATCAGCAGTTACTGGGTATTTTTCTGAACAAAAGTAGCTACAATAGATGTCTTGTACAACAATAGTATTGTGTCTCTATCTATGCCACTAGGTTTATAACTGAGTTGCAAAAGGTAAAATGAACAAATTATCTCACTTTGTTAAATAGGCAAAATGACAATGATAATGTGGTGTTCCTAGTTAGAAAACTTTCTTTTCCTCACCTAATAGAAAACGTTAAAGTACAGAGACATACAGTAGATCTATGGTTAAGACAAAATAAGAGATAAAGAACATTTAGTGCAAAAATTCCATATGCTGTACACTAAATAGGCACATTTCTATCTAAATGAAAAATATGTGTACAGTGTATATATCCAAAAGAGCTAATACTTACAGGATGGAACTAACATGAAAGGCATAAAGGTGGACAGCAAAAATATTCTGTTTTCATGAGTCACAGAGAAGTATAACTTCATTAGTGGTAGAACAAAGTGATGTCAAGAGTGGGTTACTCATGGTCATACCTAGCAAATGAAAACCAACTGTGAAAAACTGGCCCCATTGATGACAACAGGAGATTTGCCATTGACTTCAGAGGAGCCAGGATTTCACCCCAAGATTAGGACATATTCTTTTTATATCATACCAGTGGGACTGTCTGTATTAAGTAGAGGTCAAAACTTGTTTGTTATAGGTATGGTAATAGAAATGAATATGTTCTATGATTTTATTTCCTACTGATGTGATATAAAATATATATATATATACATATATAATCTAAGCAGCAACACACAATATACATATTATGAGATAATTGCACATCATGGGTTTGGAGCAAATACCACTTTTAGGATCCTAATGGACCCTACATTCTGTAGCTGATCTTTGCTTCTTTGCAAGGTTTTAAAGCCTTATATATTCACTATGAGGCTTAAAGGGGTTGATAGTGTCCCTATAAAATAGGATTCATCAGGGGTATATATAGATATATTGTATATATGTTAGAGTAAGAAAAATAACTTATAAACAGAAAAATCTACTATATAAAGTAATTATATAACCATTCAGTTTCATATGTGGATCATTAAATAGTAACAAAGAGCAGAGAAAAAATGTGGCATGTCTTGAATCTCTGATACGTGCTACCTGCTTTTCCCCATAGGGATCTGAAAAATATCTATTAAGATTATGGAGTGGGCTGCTGAGTCTGATTCAGCCACTCGGATGTGTACCGTACTTTTAAGACAAAGAAAAAAATTGAAACCATAATTTAAGTTCAGGTGTGTGTGTGGGGGATGGTTTAAAAGATTTTATAACAATGCTTTTAATATAAAATAATGGCCATGTGGTCGCTACCTAAAAGTGCTTGGGGTTAACATTAGCAGTTTGGGAGATGTACAAGATGGGAATATGCAGCACCCTGGACTTTCAGGTTATTAGTGGGCCTTCCATACACATTTTTTAAAGCTTATCTGCATATAATTTTTTTTTACAAAAATAAATAAAGAGAGAAAGAAAAGGTGTTCCATGGATGGCTGCCTCCAAAGAATTCCAAAGAGGTGTGTTTATTTCTCTGTAAGGATTAATTAAAATAAGCTCTGTATTAATCATGTCTATGATTTGGTCCAGTTTATCTGCAACAGTTTGTGCCTTGAAATCAAATTGGTTGATAGTAATCACCTTAATCAGATATAGGACACAAACTAGATACTGTGGTGATTTCAGGACTACTTAATTACATGAATTTCTTTGGCCCAAGATATTCATAAATAGGAGAGAAGAGTTAAGTTCCTAACATCATATTCAGGCACCTAAATAGGTGGGATGATTTTAAAAAGTGCTCGGCACCCAGCGGCACCCAACAAGGTTACAAATGGGCCCATTTCTAAAGCGTTGGGCCTGACACTCAGAGTATTTGCAAGTCAGTCCTCTTGTTTGGGTGTATAAATATAGTTTTAGGAGCCTAACTTTGATCTCTTCTTTTTAAAATCTTGGCTTGGGTCTTTAGAATATTCAGCCTATGTTCTGTGTGCAGTAGCTGTGATGTCATCAACATGTGTGCATATCCCTTATTGAAGAGGACAGTGGTTTTCAATCTATGCTCAATGACACCATTTGTCAGCAGAGTCTTTCCTACTGGTCCACAAATTGAAACATTTGAGAATCAAGAGGAGTACTGGAGTGTTGGGACGGAAAATGAAATAATAAGTAGAATGGAAAAGTAGGAGAACCACTAACCTATTTTATAGTCTTGTGCATGACCTACTGGTAGGGGGGCACATACTGTACATCCTGCCACGCTATCACAATGCCATTAAAATCAACAGACCCATCTTTGTGAACATGTTGTGGCCTGTGGCATGTATGGAGGCACAGTACTAAGGAGAGAATTAATAAAAGTTTTGCTAGAAATAAACAGCGTCATTCCAACTATTTCCACTTGCAACTTCACTTTCTGTTTCTTGGACCTTTTTTGTCACAGTGCTCTATGGAACAATTTTTGGTCACACAAGCCTCTTTTAAATTTCAGCTGTACACAACAATCTCAAACGTTTTTATGTCTCTTACTCACTACCTAATAAAGGATAAAGCCTGAATGTTAGAATGTATAGTGGATTTTCTGTGCCTTGCTGTCCCCCTATCTGTTGAGCAGCACCTGTTTGTCAGGAATAGATCAGCATCCATTGGGATCCAATCTCTCTGCTAAACAGCTGTTTGCTTAATATTTTAATAAATAAATGTGAAAACTACTAGCAGAGCAATCTGCTTGGTGAATGGTGAGTCCAATCCATGTGCATGACCACAGCATTTGGAATTGGAACTGTCATACTTAAGCCACATTATACACACTTGTGTCAATATGCCCATGGCAGCAAGAATAGTAAAAGAAAAAATGTCTTTTCTTATTTCATTTTAACTAAATATAAATAACACTACAGGACTAGACAGAAGCCTAAAGCCCATGGAAATGCGTCTCTTCACCCAAGATATGAATAAGTCATTGGGCTGACAGAATGAAATCATGGTTGCTGGGGAAAGGGCTGTGTATGTATTCAGACAAGCTGATATGTTCAATGATGTTTTCTCAGATTCCATACTAAGCTTTAAAAAATGATTGTTCTGGTCTGACCAGAAGTCATGATGTTATATTTATGGGAGGGGTTTTGTTTTGTTTTGTTTTTTTACAAACTATCTTTTCTTATAAACCCTGTAATTTTCCAGGCATTTGTGCCTTCAGACATTTGGTCTGAAGATTCATCATTATTCTGAAAAGAGAGGTTAATTACTTTCCTGAGAGCTAGTGTAGACTTTAGGCTCTGCAAGGCCAGTAAGCAAATGTGTATTTACAGAAACTTCACGTGAACTGGAAAAGATGAACAATGGCACGGATGTGGCAAAGAGTATTTATTTTTAAAGTATACATCTTAATTATTTCAAAACAGTTGATCTACATTCTATACCTAGAATAATTAAATCTGTCATTTTAGAAGGGGAAAACCACAAAACAGGCTGCACATTTGTAAAGACATACAGTCTTTTCAAATGCTGAAGGCACAGAGCCAATGTGTGTAATTTTTATTGTCTCTCACTCATTCATATATTGATCTCCAGTACAAAAGGTCATTCTCTACCTTGATGGTTTTGCCTGTCTGTTGCACTTAAGTGACCAATGGGATTGCAGAACCTTGGCATGCCATTCCATAAAAGATCAAGCCACCTGTTAATATCTTATTCTTCCTCTGCCTTCTGTTCCCCAAACAGTAGACCTCTTTTTGAGTTTCCTTTGGAAATTTCTACCTCGAAAGAATTGGGGTAAAATTTTCAAAAGCACTTAAGTGACTTCAGAGCCTGTCTCATTTTCAAAAGTGACTTAGACACGTAGGACCAGTTTTTTAAAGGTATTGCCTTTCAATGAGACTTAAGCTCTTAAATGTCTAAGTCACTTTTCAAACTGTGACTAAGTCACTTAGGTGCTTTTGAAAATGTTACCCCATGGTACCTACGTATTTGCACCTTGTGTCCCAGGCCGTATTTGCTCATCAGCAAGTCCCATTACTTTGTTGACAGTGAATCATGGAAATCTCTGATTTAAGTTTTGGCCCACAGTTGAGGGGAACATTCCACCAATGATAAATTAATAAGTCTCCATTAAACTCGTTGCTATCTCAACCAGATCTTTAAGAATCTAACTGAGGAGAACAACTCTGCAAAGGAAGCACCAAACCTCCACTCTAAGAAGTTATTCCTGTACCGGACCTTGCTGTATTTAACCTTCTTCATTCCATAAACCAAGGAGAAAGATGGTTATCATGCATACAGAGCCAGAGGGTCAGTGGCCAGGGAAATGAAACAAGGCCTACTAGGCTTTACAGTCCCAGACCCAAAACAAGAACAGTATGGGATGTCTAAAGCCTGTAAAGTTTCAGCATGAACGCCTGTTCCTTTTGAAGCCAGTGGCAAAACTTCCTTTGACTTCAATGACGATAAGATTTCACCCTCAATAGCTGGAGCCTAATAGGCTGATACTAACCTCTTCACAATCATGCACCCTCCCAAGTGTCAGTCAACTGGGGGCTCTGAGGCGAGTTCAGATGACAAAAATGGATAAATAAACTTGGTTGAGTTTCAAGCCTGCATTAATGTCTGTCTAACATTTGCAACCAACTTTGCATTGGACTGCTACTCAGTGGCCAGGAAATGTAGGGAAAACAGGAAAAGAATTTGACCCCCCCATGGGCCTTTTTCTTTCTTATGTTTGGGTGAAGTGCATGAGGCATTAACAGCAAGGAAAATTCTGTAGCTGTTGGATGACATATAGGACCAGTGAAGTTACATGAGCTTAGCTTTTTAAAAATAATTAATGTGATGGTAAAGGAAACCTATGGGAGAGTGGTTGGCTCACATTTGTCAGTGACCTTGTGTGGGCATGACTGGAATCTAATATTTGTACTGTGCACAACTGGAACTGAACATTTGCCGGTATACTTAGGAACAAATCTGGATATTAGTGTCTAGTGCAATAGCATAACGTATAGGGTGCATGAGACAGATCCACACTTGGTGTAAACCAGTATAGCTCCATTTAAATCAATGGAGGTACGCCAGCTTACACCAGATGAGGAACTGGCCGTATGGATTGTATTTCATACATAGTTTTGTCCCTAAAAAGGATCTCCAGGATTTATAGTTTATATTTTGCTTTAATAGTCTTTGAAATTTCCACTATATTTCAACTGTCCCTTTCAAGCTTTCATTAGCAGTGCTTCTGTATTCATACATTCTTTTCATATGAGACTTTGAGTGCAATGTGGAGTTGTAAATGTAGATTGAAGAAGCTGGCATTCAAAAACCTAGCTGGTGAGCCATTGGATCAGAGTCAATAAATCACAGGATGAAGTTCAGGCAGTATTGAAATAATAATAATAATATATTTTCTATAGGGGGAGTATGTATATTATGGTAGAGTAACTGCCATAGTTAAGGTTTCGTGGTGCTTTCCATTCTAACCCCTGTTTCAACTGCTCACAACTTTCTGAAACATTCATCTTTTGGGCTTTAATATCTTCCAGGCTTCATCTCTGATTAAACATGAATTTTATTGTGGATGTGTACTAAACATGGGTCTACATTTTTGAGACCAAGGAAAATGGAAAGGGAATAAAAACCATTAACTATACATTAATTCTCACAACATTTTTAACAGTTCTAGCACCATGTCAGCTGGGAACAGAGAGTTGACAGTGGCCATGGAGAAGTGCCTTTGGATTAAAATTGGTTTTGACTTTTGGTTTGCCAGAGGCTACACTGCAGATGCTTCCCCTGGGAGCAACCAAATGAGAAGGGGCAGGGAGCAGGCAGAGCCATGGTTCTGATCCCCCCGTTGTGCTGTCCAGTGAAGCTGGCTAGCCACATAAGAGGAGTATGCAGAATCCCATAAAAGGGTGTAACAAATTACTGTTCCGCCTTTTCCCCAGACAACAGGGGATCCCGAGAAAGATCTGGAGATACTACTAGTGCTCCCTCAGGGGCGGATGTTGGTAGGCAAGCTTAGAAAGTTTATAGGAGAGCAATTTGCCTCCTGTGGAGTTTCTGAGGTCCAGAGAGACAAGCTAGGAGTGGCCGCTTTCTTCCTTCACTGGTTGAGCAATAAGGCCGATATTTTGACGGAGAATGTTTTCACTGTCAGTTTTCCATAGAATGTTTCTGCTGAACTGATCAGCAGTGAAACAGTTAACAATGTTACCTGTATAGCTGTCATCCTTAGGTTTCAGAGTTAAAAACCTCAATGAGATAAATGCGATAATTCACACCTCTTAGGGCTATTATTTTCTAGCTGGCCACACACTCCAAAGACAATACTTAATTGATTTAAAGTTGATATGCCGTTTCAAAATTGAGCTATCTTTTCACAACCACTAAGACTACCCAAGAAGTTGGGGAGAGGGTTAATTGAAATCTTACATCTTGGAGCATCCATTTGATGGAAAAATAAAATTCTGAGAAGAGTCATTTTTAAACACTTATAACTTCCACACTAAACTGTATGTTCATTTGAAATGTCTCAGAAAATGCATTGTGTATGCAAAGAGCAAATGCCAGAAGTCTGGGGAGGATGGACTATATTACTGAAACATAAGAAAGGTGTTATCCTTGCTGGAAGTGCTAATCTCAATTTAACCATCACGATGGAGCCAGTAGGGCTGCTACATCATAAACGTATCTAGGTTTCATTTACTCTGCTTCTAAAATTCAATTTACTATAAAATCCTCACAAACTCTATAGTTAATTACCTGAAAAGATCAGTCTTCCCTGATACCCCTGCTGGCTGGAAGACCAAGAGGGAAAACCCTCTTGGATGAACTAGTATCTGCATATGCTTCCCCCTTGCATATTTGTCTTGATGATCCGTTCTAACCAAGTTTATGGTTCAGCTTCTATGTTGGCTGGTGGTGGGCACCCAGGAGCCAGTTATAGCTCCCAGATTCTCTACCCAGTTCCGCACCAGCTCGTGCCTCATCATTGTTTAGAGCAGACTGGGCTCCCCGAGCAACTGTATTCCTACTGGTGATTGAACTACAACTAAGACTCCTCCCCATCTCTTTCCATCCTCCATACAGCCCTTATGCAAGGGCTGGGATGCCAAATGCTGTGTGAGGAGGCGCTGCACCACCCAAGCACTCCCCCATGCGAGGTGAATCATTAGCAGAGGAGTTACTGCTATTCTCATTCCCTTTGCAAAGCAGAGCAAATGCGTGGAGAAAAGAATGTGACTTGCATGTTTTACTGACATCCACAGTGTTTATCTGAACATCAACATTCCAGCAAACTAGTGGGATGTTGGTGATGGAAACAACTACCATAGACACACTTTATCTGTGTTTTCGTAAGAATTCACAGCACTCTCTAGTTTGCTGTATCTCTCAGACATGCATGATTCAGGGCCCATTCTGGAGATCTTGAACACTCTTAATTCCTAATGATTTCAATGGGAGTTGAGGATGCTCACAACCTTGCAGGACTAGGCCTTTGAAGCAGCAGATCTCTGTTTCCAATGAGCTTCAAAGCTTTCCTAATCACGAAAGCCCTCCAATCCTGTTCCA